CATTGATTCGATAGTGAACATTGATTCGATAGTGAACATTGATTCGATAGTGAGCACTGATTCAATAGTGACCGCTGATTCGACAGTGACTGTTGGACCAATGTCCCCTCTAAGACTTTCTGTTGAATACAGCCTTGTTCATTTGAATGTATGGCACCTTAAAATTATTTAAGTATGTGATCGCACTAAAGTGGGTGCAGAGGAGATTCACCAGGATGTACATTAACATTTCGGGTCTGGTGACCCTTCCTCAGAGAAATCAGAGTTCTGAGGAAGGGTCACTGGACCCGAAATGTTAACTGATATTTTTCTTCACAGATGCTGCCAGACATGCTGAGCTTTTCCAGCAACTTCTGTTTTTGTTCCTGATTCACAGTTCTTTCAGTTTTTTTTTACACCAGGATGTGGCCTGAGCTGGAGTAATTCAGCTACGAAGAGAGATTAGATAGTCTGGGGTTATTTCCCTGAGAGTAAAGAAGGTAGAAGGAGGGAGAGCTAATTAAGATGTACAAAGTTTTGAGGAGCACAAACAGGGTAGATAGGAAGAAGTTTTTCCCTTTAGTAGAGAAATCAAAACTGGGGGCATAGAATTAAGGTAAGGAGCACGAGCATGAGCACACGCGAGGGTTTTAAGGAAGAATGTTTTCACCCAGAGGGTGGTGGTTATCTGGAATTCACCACCTGAAAGAATGGTAGAGGTGGGAACCATCACAACATTTAAGAATGACTTAGATGATCGCTTGAAGTGCCTTAGCAAACAGGCTATGGGGTGATTATGGGCAGGAAAATGAGACTACATTAGATAGTGCTTTCGCAAGGAAACTGAACAAACATTTCAAAAGGAAAATTTTAAATTGCTATGTGGAAATAAACAGGAGTGTGACTAATAGGCTAGCCCTTTCAGAGATTCAACACAGGTATGGACAGCCAGAGACATTTTCCTAGGGTGGAGGTAGCTATTACGAGGGGTCATAGTTTTAAAGTGAGTGGAGGTAGATATAGGGGAGACGTCAGAGGTAGGTTCTTTATTCAGAGAGTGGTAGGGGTGTGGAATGCATTGCCGGGGAGGGTAGCAGAGTCGGCCTCATTAGGGGCATTTAAGCGGCTATTAGATAGGCATATGGATGATAGTATAAGGCAGGTGGAGGTTAGATAGACCTTAGGTTTAGGGTAAAAGTTCGGCACAACATCGTGGGCCGAAGGGCCTGTACTGTGCTGAGCTGTTCTATGTTCTATGTTCTATGTTCTATGTGTGATAGGCCAAACAGCCTCCCTCTGCACATATAATTCGGTCTTGCATGCTTGTTCCGTCTTGGGTTTCTCACTTTAGAAAATTAAGCTCCAACGCCACTTTTAAGTAGAATGGGTCCTTGTACTCTTCCCTACGAGGTGACTGGGTTTTTCCAAACTCTACACAATGCAATGGTGACTGGGGGACTGGGAGGCCAAGAAGATGCCTCAAAACTTACTCAATGATCCCAGCAGCTGTAACCTCCCCTAGGAATTGACCCACGCTTATTCACTGCCTGCTTTTCCCCCTGTGCTTCAGTTAAAGATGTGGAATGAATGTATGCAGAATACTGAAATTTCTAAACAGAAGGAAGCCATTCGGCCCGTTCTGCCTCTGGTGGTTCCACATCATGGTCGCTTTCCCAGCTCTCACCACGTGTTAAACTCCTGCAACTCACTACCAACCATCTGGTCCCTGAGTAAGATGCCAAGCATTTAGACAGCTGTAAATAGCTGTATACTGTTCCAAAGAATCCTTTGTGACAGGGCTTGTGTATACCATAGCCTCAGGGAATGCGTTCTGTGAGGAAGGAGAGGTTACCAGGTAGCGAGGCTTCTGTTTAATTCTAGAATGCACTCGCCAATCAACATGGAGTTCTCACTGATTCAAACAAGATTATTATAAGGAACAAATTACATTGTTAATTCAACAAAGAATGAAAGCAGAAAAGCTTATAATCATATTACAAAGTCAATGTTGTAACTGAGAGACTTAAACTGAGGCTGGTATGTGTGGATAAGAATATTATTTTCTGGAAGGCACAATGAGTGCAGTGTATATTGGCTCTGAGTCTACAATTGCAGATCTGTACTGATCTGTACCATATTTTGATGGCAACACATTGTATCACAAATCATCGAGAACACAAGGTTAATTGCCAAGGATATTACTCACAGTCTGTAGAGCGTAGGGTTCTTCTGAAAGAGTAGTTCTGGCAAGATCTGTAACTGATTCCGATTCAACCGCCTGCAAATTAAAAGGAACAATCAGCAAGAAGGGAAAGTATGCAATTCTAAACAAATGGTGCTGCTTCTTGCTGGGCTACTGGCTGTCCTCTAGCACTGAATATACTTTGATACTGAGTGTTCCCAGGTGTTGGACTCTGGTAGATGTCCATTCAGTGAAGATAGACAGCCAGTGTCCGTGAGCCGTCAGGAGCCTGGAACTATATTCATACAGTATGCTTGCAGAATGCACTGGACAGGGATCCAGTCGATCTTCCATGCACAAGCTCAGGACCTTTGCATCACTTGTTGCCCCCAGTCGAGATCAGGGGTCCATTCAGCTTGGGATGGGTAGGAAACATGCATTCCGGTGTGGCCCAGTATCACAGGGCTCAATGATTTCAGAGGGATATCCTGATAAGACCAGCAGCCATTAGAGCATTAACACTAGCATCAACATGTGGGGAGGCAATGGCCTAGTGGTATTATTCACTGGACTGTTAACTCAGAGACCCAGGTAATGTTCTGAGGACCTGTGTTCGAATCCCACCACGCCTACTGGTGGAATTTGAATTCAATAAATACCTGGAATTAAGAGTCTAATGATGACCATGAATTCATTGCCAGTTGTCGGGGGAAAAACCCATCTGGTTCACTAATGTCCTTTCGGAACCGTCATCCTTACCTGGTCTGACCTACATCAGCAATGTCATTGACCGTTAACTGCCCTCTGGGGCTCTTACGGATGGGCAATAAATGCTGCCTAGCCAGCGACACCCTCATCTTGTGAACGAATAGATTTAAAATACTAATGGACGGGCTGAATGACCTATGTTGAAATTCAATGCAATTAACCCCTAAAGCTTGTGGAGGAGACATCCAGGAATGGGGGGGGGTGGGGTCAGTGAAGCTAAAATTCCTACTTACAATCTCTCCAGCTCCTTCATGTCGTCAAATGCCCCTTGGTCAATGGTGCTGATGTGATTCTCCATGAGTTGTCTGTCACAAGAGAGAAACACAGGTGAGGTAATATTAACATTCATAGGTGGTTTATTGAATCTAGGCTCTTAATACAAGATTAACAGACATAGAAATATATAAACTAGGAGTAGGCCATTTGGCCCTTCAAACCATTCAATGTGATAATGGCTGATCCCCTATCTCATTGCCATATTTTGACTTTCTCTCAACGTCCCATCAGAGAAACGGCAGACAATCCAGTCCCAGCAGATACAACTCAAAGGATAAAACTGTCTCAAACTTGTCCATTAATTAAGAGACTCAATCAGAGTGCCCACACTATCCCTTCATCTTCCGTTCTCCTGGTTTAAGACCAAGTGATATCCAGAGTAAACCTCCCTCTATGCTGTCTCCCAGAATGGGTACAGAGTAAGGATAGAGCTAGAGTAAATTTCTATCTTCACTGTACCATCAAACAGTGCCAGGATAGGTACAACATGGGGTCAACATGAAGGTCCCACCTTCTCAACATCACCCCTCGCCTGCAATGTGGTGATCCTCAGGATAAACTCTCCACCAGTCATCTCTCTCTGGTGGGACAGAGCAGCCCATGGTCCTCTGGGACTGTGGCGACTCCATTTTACCTTTTTTTACAACATAGGCTGTGACACAGGTAAAGCTTCTTCTACACATCCCCATCAAACGCATCCAGAGCTGACACAGCTCAGAGTTAGATACAGAGTAAAGCTTCCTCTACACTTTCCTCATCAAAAACCTCACAGAATAGGCATAGCATGGAATTATAGCATCACAGAGTTATACAGCACAGAAACAGATCCTTTGGTCCAATTTGTCCATGATGACCAGATCCCCAAACTGAACTAGTCCTATTTGCCAGCATTTGGCCTGTATTGATCACACAACATGCCACAACAAGACAAGCATCTCCATGGTAGTTAAAAAGGCATTTGGCATGCTTGCCTTCATTGCTCATTCCTCTGAGTATAGAAGTTGGGAAGTCAAGTTGGGCTTGTACAGGACATTGGTAAGGTCTCTTCTGGAATACTGTGTCCAGTTCAGGTCGCCCATTTATAGGAAGACTGTTATGAAGCTGGAGAGGGTTCAGAAGAGATTTACCAGGATGTTGTTGGGAATGGAAGGTTTGAGTTATAAAGAAAGGTTGGAGAGGCTGGGACATTTTCAATGGAGTGTAGCAGGTTGGGAGATGACCTTATAGAAGTTTATAAAATAATGCAGGGTGTAGATAAAGTTAATACTAGTCATCTTTTCCCTAGGATGGGGGATTATCAAGACCGGGGGAACATTTTTAAGGTGAGAGGAGAGAGACTTAAAAACGAAATGAGGGGCAAATTCTTTACACAGAAGGTGGTTCACATGTGAAATGAACTTTATTTTATTCTTTATTCATTCATAGGATGAGGGCATAACTGACCAGGCAGTATTTATTGCCCATCCTTAATTGCCCAGAGGGCAGTTTAGAGTCAACCACATTGCTGTGGATCTAGAGTCACATGTAGGCCAGACCAGATGAGGATGGCAGTTTCCTTCCCTAAAGGGCATAGGTGAACCAGATGGGATTTCCTGACAATCAACGATGGGTTCATGGTCATCATTTGATTCTTAATTCCAGATATTTTATTGAATTCCAATTCCACCATCTGCCGTGGCAGGATTCGAACCCAACCCCCTGGCACGTTATCTGGTTCTCTGGATTAACAGTCCAGCGATAATTCCACTAGGCCATTGCTTCCCCTGAGGGGGTGCTGAATGTGGGTACAGTTACGTTTAAAAGACATTTGGATAAGTACATGAATAGGAAAGGTTTGGAAGGATATGGGCCAGGAGCAGGCAGGTGGGACTAGTTTAGTTTGGGATTATGTTCAGCATGGACTGGTTGGGCCGAAAGGTCTGCTTCCATGCTGTATGCCTCTATGATTCTATAAGATAGCTTCTCACATCTTGAGGGTTAGATACAGAGCAAGGTTTTCTCTGCACTATCTCCATCAAACACTCCCAGGACAGGTACAGCAGAGGGTTAGATATAGAGTAAAGCTCCTCTTACACTTCTACTCTTTTAAGTTGAAAGTCAACAGAAAGCAAAGCTCTAAACAAAAAAAAAGTGCAGATATTGGAAATTTCTGGGAAAACTCAGCAGGTCTGGCAGCGTCTGTGGAGAAAAATCAGAATTAATATTTTGGGTCCAGTGACCCTTCTTCAGAACATTACCTCTCACCAGTTCTGTTTTTTGGTTTTTGATTCTGAAAGTAAAGCTACCTCGACACTGTCTTCATCAAACACACCCAGGACAAGTATAGCTTGGGTCTAGGTAGAGAAAAACTCCCTCTACTCTTTTAAAGTGAAAGCAAAGCTCCCCCAACACTGTCCCAATGAAACAATCCCAGGATAGGGACAGTAATAAAGAGTAAAGCTTCTTTTACTCTTTTAAACTGTAGGTAAAGCTGCATCGACACTGTCACCATCAAACACTCCCAGACAGCTACACCATGGGGTTAGATATAGAGTGAGATGATTTCTTAGGTTAGAAATCATGCCTGGCTTGATATTGTCCGATTGTTGCTTTATGTGCTAGCTCGGGTAACGTATACCACAAATATCAGGTGCTTACTAGAATAGATGTTGTGACGTTTATTAATAATACTAATGACATTGTTATAATATAGACTAAGGCATCATATGGGTTTGTATTTCTGATGCTACTGGTCACTGCACATGTGTAATTGAACACACTCCACTAACTCCACAGCACTAAGAGTGTGTCTGAAAGTGAAGTGAGTTCTTTACACCGAATAGCACATTCACAATGTCCTGTAACTTAAAGAATCCCTATCTTTTTGATCTAGAATTTACGTCATAACACAACATTCTCCCCTTTTCCCTTTCAAGAGTGGAAACACTTTTGTAATAACTTGTACAAGAAGCATATAGATACATTGTCCCTCTAGATTTAGCTAACACTTTGGTGGATGTATGTCACATCCAAATCTAGTCCTTAGCCAGTTTTCATGTCTTGGCTCTGAGGTGTGCTGTCTGTTGTTGAGAATGGATATGTATCATTTGTTGTAGATGTATGGTTATTATCTGGCATGATATCCTCAGTATAGGAGTCATTATCCTGTATGATGTGTGGTTGATGATATACAGTTTGGACATGTTGCCTGTTTCTTCACTGGACTTAAACATTGTTCATTACAATCCCTCATGACCCAGACTGGATATAAAGATGTAGTATTTTTCCACAAACCCATAAGTTCATATGAAAATCTTGAATTATTTTGCTCTGTTTTCGTTTAAATTGGGATAAGTGTCTCCGTGCTCATTGATCATGCTTTTGCACTATTTTCTCCCTTCTTTCCAACAATGTATTGTGTAGATGCAGGTGGCTGGTGAGACTGTGTGGGGGATGAACTGTAATGATCTGTCTCCCAAACATATGAGCTTCCAGTGAGGGTAAACCATTACTTAGAGGAGTAGCATAGTTATCTGACAATCTTAGCACATTGCTTTACGTTTGGATATCATGAACCTTGTTGTATGGACAGTGTCTTTTGTGAGACCAAACAATTGAAGGTATAGTGGAGAAGAGGAAGTACGCTGCACATTTCCTGCACATATCTTGGAAGGGTACTGCAAGCTGTTGCCAGACACAACTTGCTGAGGGACACCGAACATTCTGAATAGGCAGTCAATGCGTTGTTACAAAGTTGTGTAGAGTATTCATGAATTGGAAGGCAGGAAGTTAGAGTCAATACAGTGTGGAGCTGGAGGAACACAGCAGGTCAGGCAGCATCAGAGGAGCAGGAAAGTCAATGTTTTGGACCTGGACCCTTCACCAGGATTGGGTAAGGGGAAGGGAGCTGGGAAATAAATAGAGGGAGAAGGGGTGGGGCTGGGGTAAGTTAGAATTTGTTGGTAAAAATGATAGTGTGGAAAAGCAGTGTGTGGTCTCTTTAAGAGAATGCAGTCTGGAATCTCTGTTATACCTCATTGGTGTAGCACATTGGAAATCAAGTCTTGCTATTTCTGGAGTTGTTACAAAAGTTGAAGATTTTATAAGTGTATGCAAAATTCCCAATTTTCCTTTCCTTGACAGAAGGTTGACAGAAATCACAGGCCAGATTTCTGTACTTAACAAGGATTCCTAAGAGTGTTTTAATAAGTTGGAGCTATCCTTCAGAG